GCAGGAAGTCTGGGTGAGCAGCCTGTGACGCCGGCGCCTGCTGTGACCAGCGCCTGCTGCTACAGAAAGTCGTTTCATCCGAACTCAGAGCAGAGCGGCCTGTCCTTGAGGGAGGGTGCTAGGAAGGACCTTCACCTTCACGATACAAGTTATGCTCTGGTTAGATTTTTGTCTTAATATATTTATTTTTCTTAAACTATAATAATTCTTAAATAAGTTTCTAATTAATAGTAAGATAGCGTTATTAGTCTTCCAAAGAACAGACTATTTAGAACCTATATTCAAAAGAGAGAAATGATCACTTTAGCCCCCCAAATCCGAAATTAGCAAGCAGCATGAACTCTATTGACCAAAAGGCTACATCATACATTGTGCAGGTGATATATCATGGAATTGTACACTGAAACCTACATAATTTTATTAACCATCATCCCAAAAAATTCAATTAAAAAAAAAAAAGAAGTCAACGTTTTAGTGAGTGAACAGCTCACACTTCCCATTTTGCAACAGTGAACGATGCCGGTTACCTGGCCCGCGGGCTGGGTGGTCACTGCCATGCATGTCAAACTCCTGTGCTTCGAGCTGTCTGTACTTGTTAATATACTCCAGTTCCCCACTCTTCTGGCTCAGTGACCTGCAAAGAATATCAGAACTTAGTACACGGCTTCCAAAAAGCCAAGGAGTCACCCTGCGCCGAATGCCTGAACACCCTTCACTAAGTCACAGAAGAAATGCAAATGGTCAATAAACAAGTAAAAGGAGCCGTAGCCGGTTTGGCTCAGTGGAAAGAGCATCAGCCTGCGGACCAAAGGGTTCCGGGTTTGATTCTGGTCAAGGGCATGTACCTTGGTTGCAGGCTCCTCCCTGGCCCAAGCCCGGGCCCTGGTTGGGGCTCGTGCAGGAGGCAACCAATCAATGTGTTTCTCTTACACTGTTGTTTCTCCCAATCAATGTTCTCTTACACTGTTGTTTCTCTCTCTTTCCCTCTCTCTCCCACTCTCCCTAAAAATCAATGGAAAAATATCCTCAGTGAGGATTAACAACAACAACAAAAAAGTAAAAATACACTCAAATTCGTAGTCATTTACCAAACAGATGCAAACTGAAGTGATGCGAAACCATTTCTTCATCCTTCAAACTGGCAAATAAATTCTTAGATTATAGGGAGGGTGGCAGATCGGCCTGGCATTTCCCCTGCCGTGTCCATTAGAGCCCACAGCTCTGCAGCCAACACCTGTCCCCGCCACGTCTTCTGCAGAGCACGTGGGGGCAGGAGGCGCTGGCAAGGCGGGCGCAGACGCCTCGGGTCATTCAGCGAGTGCTGCCCGTCACCAGCACACGGGAGGCAGTCTCAGACCCAGAGGCGCAGCAGCAACAGCCAAGCCCGGCCCCTGGAGTGTCATCCCAGGGAAGAGACATCCAGACCTGCAGGACCCTCATTTGTGACAGGCAGGGCCTAAGGGTCCCGGGAGGCAGGGTGCCTTCTCATCATACTTGTGAGAGTTAAAACCTGGGGGGAAAGGCCCCACAGAGGGCCACGCTCACCTATGGCGTACTCTTACTTAACCTGTATCATATTTTAAAGAATGCCATCGGAGGCTATACCCACACTAATAGACACAAGGTCCCAAACAGCCTGGCTGGTGTGGCTCAGTTGGTTGAGCGGTGTCCTGTGCACCAAAAGGCCGCTGGTTCGTTTCCCAGTCAGGGCACACGCCTGGGTGTGGGTTCAATTGCTGCCTGGGCGTACCGGAGACAGCCATTCAATGTTCCTCTCTCTCTCCCTCTCCCCTCCTCTCTCTCTACAATCAGTTTTTTTAAAATGTCCAAATCGTTCAGTGAGAAAAGACACTTGCACTGTGACATGCAAACCGCCCGCGACATTTGGGGCTCCTGGGAGAGGGTCCACCTGGAAGGCGCTGCTGTCAGAGGAAGGACGGCGATGCCAGCACTGAAGTGTGCAGTCACTTGAATACAATGGATTCGCATTAAAGGCGCCACTTGTCTGATACACCGGTCCCACCAGCGTTCTTTTGAGTACTGTTTCCCTGCTATCTACTCCTATTCCCTCAGCAAAGCATCACTCAGGGCCTGGCGGCTGCAGTCGGCTGGGGAGGGAAGGACCATGGGGAGTGTGGCAGCGGTGACAGGTTCCCAGGGAGAACGCAGCAGAGAGGAGAGGGGCAATGCTAATAGGACAAGGAGACATTTAGGCAAAGATCAGAAGGAAACTGAGAAGGGCCGTGCAGGTCTGCATGCGGACACAGCCAAGGCGGCCCAGAGGGGCGGCGAGGGTCAGGCCTGGCTGGGACGAAGCGTGCTCTGGGCAGAGCCAGAGGGGCCAGGTGGGGGACACGGGAAGCCTGCAGAGCCCTGAGCGGAAACCCTGTGCTGGTTCCGCAGCCAACACGCTCCAGGCGGCCCGCACCATGTCCGAGGCAGCACGAATCCCAGCAGTCAGAGGCCGCAGGGCACTGTCCCGAGCGCCGGCCGCCACTGCACTGGGCACCTCCCGGCTGCAGCTGATGGTGCCGTCTGCCCTGTGAGCAGCTGGCGCTGCGGAGGCCACACCTCGGCCTCTCTCACCACGACACGCAGGGCTAACGTGAACCAGTCTATTCTTCACGGGTCATTTGGAGGAAAAGGCCGGAGAGAAAGATTGTGAAATGTCATCCAAGGCGAAGCCGCTGCGCTGTCATCGAACACAGGCCTGGGGAGTGGACCCCGCCTGCTCCTCAGCCAGACCCGCCTGCGCCCTGGCCCTCAGCACCCGCCAGGCAGGAGGTGGTCGCTACAGTGAGTCACATGTCCTCACGGCTCCATTTTCCCGCCTTAATCCGTTACTGCCTCAGCTCCGCGCTTCCAGAGATGGCATGCACGTCAGCTATCCGCTTGCGTACACGCGGCCTCCTCTCGCTGTGACCCACTTGCACACCCTCCTCTTCAGAAAGAAACGAGTAGAGTCACGGCTACGACCCAGCGCGCTCTGCCCCTTCTACTTGGTTATGGGACTTGCTCAGAGCGGGTGCTTCGCAAACAGTCCAGCCTGGTCCACTTTCCCTGCTGTCACCACAGAGGATGGGACCTGCTCCCAATGCCTGGGAGTGAAGCTGAAGAATCAAAGCAACAAGGTTATTTTGGGAGCTCCAGAGGCACGAATTGCAGCTCCACTGTGACCCGCAGCGCGCAGCAGGCAGCGGCAGGCGACAGCCCCGCGTCCTGGGGGCACATCTGCTGGCTTGGCGTCCACATCCCTCCCCGACCCACGTCTGAACGCATCGAGGGCCAGCACCGGCCGCCGGCATCTTTTCAGATGGCTGAGCAGCATTCAAAAGGCAGCCTTATGTAAGCGGCGCAGCTTCGGTAGTAAGTTATTTTTGTCGTTTCTTCCGCTTGCTTACAAGGTGAATTAATGAGCGCTCGCTCTCCACAGGAAGACTTCACAACCTCGTTCCTAACATAGAAAGTTATTTATTTCAAGTGCAGCCCCAGTGGTGAGCGCGGAGGCGCCTTCCGCAGACACAGCAGGAGCAGCGGAGGGGCCGAGCGAGACAGCGGCCACAGCCGAGTCAGCACCCCACAGCGGACCGCAGCCCCAGGTACGCTCTGACCCCTGTCTGTCCAAGCCGTGTCAAGCATGTTTCTGGAGCAATTGGCTTATGCTAATATTTTAAAGTGTCCTAAGAACTTTTAAGAGCAAGTGTTCAGTGTGACTCTCAGAAAATGTTCAGTCTGCAGATTCTCTCTAACTTTGTGTATTTCCTTTCTGCTTAGCTACACAAAGTATTTTTAAAGCTTGGTTTAGGGCACCGACCTAGTTAGGAATTAGAAGACTTTAATCACGTTTCGATCTTACTTTGACCTGTATATCTAACCAGTGGAAAATTCATCCACTTTTCTGGGAAATGTATTATGAAGAGACAAATATTTGCTCATCAGAACCGTGACACTGTATGCAAATGAACGAGTGGGGACACTCCCACAGGCCAGATGCCACTCTTCGGCTGGATGAGGTGGCCCAAACACAACCCCTGCCCAGCGGCGCGCCGCCCTGGCTCCAAGGCCGTGGCCAGGACGCTACTGCGGGAGCTGCAGTGGCACCTGCAGGAGCGAGAGAGGTTCATACAAGAGGTGGACCATGAGCACCCTGGGGCGCGGGCGGGTGTGGAGTACACCTGGCTGAGAACCTACCAGAACCCCCACACGACCATCCCCGCTACTGAACAGAGGCAGCTGGAAGCTCTCTGCGTGCAAGTTCAGCCCTGCCAGGCGGGAGCCATTCTCAGCAGGTAACAGCCCCCCACTTCCTCGTGATGCACGTACCGTGGGTCTCAGCACTCACGCATCCAGACGGGCAAGGGCACTCTCTCAGCAACCGAACACCTACGAGAACTATCTGTCACTACCTTACTGGCTAGCCATATTTTACGTCACTGAGATCCCTGTCCTAGACGCACAAACTAAGCCGTGTGCAGACCCACAGGGGGGCACCGCCACGCGGCCACGGGACAGGCTGCATGTGGGAGACGGGGGGGGGGGGGGGGGGGGGAGGAGGGAACGGTCTGACCCACATGTGCATCACTGCTTGCCTCTAGGTTTCGAGAAGTTCTGGCAGAAAATGATGTGCTGCCCTGGGAAATTGTCCACGTCTTCAAGCGAGTTCTGGAGGACGCCCTGGGCAGCCCTGAGAAAGGCGGGCAGCCGGGCCTGGCGGTGGGGGGTGTGGGGGACAGCGCCCGGAGTTCAGACCAGGATGAGATTCCCACTGTTTCCAGTTACGTGGACCGGCACGCGGAGAGCAGGCTCCCCACATCCTCGCGCAGGACGTGGAACCTGCCGTATGACCACCCGCCCAGCTAGGCTGCTGGTGACCAGCGGCGCTGCAGGACCATGGCCGTGTCGGAGCTTCACATTCAGAATAAGGTGATGCGACCCACGTTTCTCTCTGTCGCGAGGTCCAAGTTAAAAATCCCTGTGGCGTGTCCTGCTTTAGACAGTGTCCCCTTTGAACCTCTCCAACAGCGCAATGTTTCTTAACAACTAAAATGTTTCCTAAATATTTTGAAAAAAACATTTGAAGTATTTTCTTATACCTCAAAGCATCTCGCAGGAACTAGGGCATCTACCAGTGTGCAGTAGGAAATTTGACAAATTCTGTGTGAAACCCCGACATCAACCTGGACTTTGATTCTAAGACGAAGCTACACACAGAACAAAATAAATGAGTTGCGTGAATCCTCTCTCCCGTGACTGTGTTGCCAGGGCATTCGCTCAGAGGGGAGACCGCGAGGCAGGCGTGAGGGCAGCGAGGGGCAGGCGTGAGGGCAGCAAGGGGCAGGCGTGAGGGCAGGAGCGAGGACAGCGAGGGCAGCAGTGAGGGCAGCGTGAAGACAAAGCTTCATCCTGACACTCACTTCATTTTTAATCTCAGCTCAATTAAGGGAAAGTATAAAATCACAGCTGTGTGTCAGATCAGGTAAGAGATGGCTGCTTTAACATTAATAGCTGCTACTCTCGAAGAAAACAATGCTGACGTGTACTTTACACCAACATTATGTTCATTTAAAATAGCAACATATCTAATATCCAATTTAAAAATTTCATAATTTCACTAAAGTAGGAAATTACTCATTAGTCATTTATTTTTATGATCAAATGCTAGACTTTACCGTTCTTGTTTGTTTGTTAATCCTCACCCGAGGATATTTTTCGAATTGCATTTGAGAGAGAGAGTGGGAGGGGGAGACAGAGAGAATGAAACGTGAATGTGAGAGACACATCAGCTGGTTGCCTCCCACACAGGAGAGCAAGCCTGCAAGGAGGCACATGCCTTTGACCAGAAGCGAACCCGGGACCCTTCAGTCGGCAAGCGATGCTCTAGCCACTGAGCCAAACCGGCTAGGGCTAGCCTTTCCCATTCTTAAAGGTAATTCCAAGGAACCTAATGTCTATAATTTTATATTTGGAGATTTGTGGGGGGTTATTTTTCATCTAAAAAGTAAGAAAAAAGAACAGAACATACACGCCAAAGCCCGCGCTGGGTCTGGCCTCCCAGCACAGCTCGGGGCCGGCCTCCCTGTGGCCCCGATCCCAGCCGCGCAATAAACAGGGGGAGGCTGACCAGGGTTCGATGGACGGGCCCCTGAGAAGCCCGAAAAGGCCGACACTAACGAGCCGCTCGCTGCTGTGCCCTGTTCCTCCGTGTCCAGGAGGCACCGCCCAGGGCGCTCCCATCGAGAGGCTTCTCGCAGAACTCCCTGTGCGCGAGGTCAGCGTCCCCGGGAGCACAGCTGCCGCCTGTGCAGAGACCCAGGACGCAGCCCACAGTGCCTGCGTCCACGCGTGCCAGGCACTGAGCAGGGACTGGCTCCGTGGGTCAACGCCCCGAAGGTTCGCTTCCTGTGCTGCCGTCACCACTGACAGGCCTGCCTGGCTTTATACCGCCCGCAGGCCCTGCGTGCTTCAGAGAGGGAAGGCGAGGCAACCCGCAGGGGCGAGTCTATGAAGCCACTGTGCCGACGGGCCCAGCTGACGGCTAGCATTTTTAGTTAAGGTATGTCCACAGGTTCAAACATACTGTACTGCATACGTACAGACCACAGCATGGGGTGAGCGAGGCTTTTACAAGCTCTGGGAACCCACACGTCCACGTGACTCCCTTCACGGTGACACTCGCTTGGTTGCGTGGTCTGGGACCGAACCTGCAGAATCTCCGAGGTGTGCCTGTGCCACAACTTCAGCTTAAAACACAGCCCCGTGGGACCGGAAATGCAGGGAAACGCACTGTCCCCTGCGTAGGGTCCCACAGGCCAGCATCCAGGTGCTCACAGGGCTGCGTCCCCATTCGAGCCTCATTCGTGCGGCCAAACTCGGTGCCTTGAAGCTGTAGGTCTGAGGCCCCCTCTCCTTGCTGGGGAGCACCAGCTGGGACCAGCCGGGCCTGCACGCCACAGCCCACAGCCCTTTTCCTGCTTCCCGGAGGCCTCATCTACCGAGACCAGGCCAGTCCTGCTCCCGCCTGAAAGCCCCGACGCGTCAGAGGTCTCTGCTTTGAAGGGTGCGTGTGACTAGATAACCCAGGTAGGCTCCCTCCTCTAGGATCTGAACCCTCGAGTGCGTCTGCGAAGTCCCTCTGCCGTGTCACCCGGGCACAGGCTCCAGGGACAGCTCTGGGGCCATCCACCTCCCAGGACTTCCTCCTGGAAGCTGAGCAACAAGCCACTCTACCACCCAACCTTTTTCTCATCTACAGTCGGAACGCCACACCCCTCCACCCTCCCCCCCACAAACACACACACACACACAGCTGTGTGGAGGACTAACAGGGCTCCACGGTGCTTCCCTGTGCCCACCACGCGCGGGCCCACCACGCGCGGGCCCACCACTCGCCCGGGCCTGGCTGAGATGTGCGCGTGTGCAGGCCAGGACGCTCCTGTCAGGAGGAGGATGGAGAGAGACGATGGTGACACTGTTTGCCGGCACCCGTCACTCTCCTGGCGATTTCACAGTACTGTTACAGACACTGATTGGAATGATTTTTAGAATGGGACTTACGTTTTGTCTTTTCATTTATTTTACAAAAGTCTCAGTCCATAAAGGACTGGAAATTTAAAAAACGGATCCTTTGTAGCTATAGGGACACTTAAATCTACACTATCATTTCTGACAAGGTTAATAATTTACGTCCAATATCACACCACGAGTTACTTAAAAGCAATGCTGTTCTGTCCTCCAAGTCTAGGGAGCAAGCTGGGGCGGGGGGGAGGGAGGTCGGTAAGGAGGGCAGCCTACGGGTCACTCAGCAGGGTAGTCCTAGGGAAGAGAGTGCACAAACACATGGGCACAGGGCCTCTGTGCCCTCCCTGCCGCCAGGAAACAGATCCCCGAGGCCCCCAGGGGCACCTGAGCCTGCACAGGCTGGGCCACCGTGAGACCCTGACCCACCAGGTCAGACAGAGCAACAGACAAGGTCAACTTAAAATTACAAACAAAAACCACTCTGCCGACGGTAAAGGCCTTGAACTGAGGGGAGGGGCCAAGCAGGGAGGTGGACTCTCGGAGCTAGAGGTGCCTCCACAGCCTTGAGAGCGAGCAGGTGTCCTGCTCACCAGGTCTGTCCCCTAAAACAGCAGGCGTCCCCTGCCTGTCCCACCAAAACCACATGACCAGACAGCAGCTGCTTAAGTCAAACAACAGAGGGGAGCCGAGCGCCCACAAAACCCAACAAAGCTCCAGCTTCAGGCTCCGTGGTATTTATCCAATTGCATTGAAAACGTCTGACCCCACAAAAACCTGGGCCTCGGGGCTAGCGGACCCTCCAGATGTGTTTTCCCCAGCAATAGGGGCTGGGGGCTTCATTGGCATGACTGATCCTCTTTCCGCTCCCCGTTGGCATTACCTATTCCCCTCCCGCCCAACACACACGCACACACACACACACGTGAATTCTGGGCCCACAGGATTGCAGCCTCTGCTGGCCCCGGTGTCTGCAGAGAACCAATGCCTGCCTCTCCCAGGCTCCCAGACATGGGGGCTCCCCCGCTCCCCCCCCCCAGCG